CCCCATGGGACGCACAGAGGCATACTAATACTATATGTCCTCCTTGGAGGCGCGCGTCCGACCCGAATATATAGTATACCCATCTTGTAGTATATCGTTTCCCGAGCGGTGTGGCCAGAAAGCGTCCGCCACGACGCATATACTATAAGATTTCTCGGTGTGCGCGTCGCCCCTGGGGGGCGACGCACATATAGTGTAAGTATGCGGAGGTTGTGCCGACCCCAAGTTGGGGGCCACACGCGAACCCTACCCCTACCCACCACGATGTTTGAGGGGGGAGGGTGGGCTTCACTTCGTTCGGGAGCTCCCGAGCGAAGTGAGCCCCACCCTCCCCCTCAGAAATCGTGGGGGGTAAGGGTAGGGTTCGCGTGTGGCCCCCCACCAAGAGGCTCCACCCCCCCCGACTTGGAGGGTGGCCCCAAGAAGGCAGCCATCGAGCTGCCGGAATGGAGAGCAGAGGGTCGAACCCTCAGAAGAATCCCCCGGCACGCCAAGCCGTTCAGCAGACGCACCCGAAGAAGGAAGCAAACAGGGCAGGGCTGCTCGGTAGACGCCCAAGGCCGTTTACTATAAACGCCGGTCGTCGGGTCCGGAGCGCCGAAGAAGGCACGAACGGGCTCTCCTGGCCACGGCGAGGCTCGGCCACGAAGAGAGTCCGCGACCTTTTTTTTTCTCGGTGCCAAGCTATCGTGTCGATTCGACTCTCTGCGTGTGCGTGCGAAACAAAGATGCCGCCACACACGAAGAGATTCCGCGACCTGGATCCAAGGAAGGGTCCGAAAACCGAGGCTCCTCCAGAGCCCAGGGTGTTTTTTTTTTCAGCGCCTTGACTGTAGAGCAGCAAAGCCACCCTCACGATAGCACCCCGACGAACGACGCCGCTTCGAAATCGCACTCAAGATCGAACAGGGCAGGGCTGTTCAGCAAACGCCCAGTGGGCCGCCCAGGGCCGTTTAGCAAACGCCAGTTATGAGGGGTGGGGGTGTATTCTCCCTGCATTGATAGAGGGCCCCAAGAGGGCCTCGTGGAGCCCAGTTGGGGACCCCGAGAGGAGGTCCGAACGGAGGGGTAGGACGGTGCTAGGACGGGGAGTCCGTTCCAGAAGCGTTCCCACACGCTCTAAGAGCATTCTGGACCGCTTAGTGAAGGCCGCGGCGCCCGATACATGCTCCAGAGCTTGCAGATCTGATGTGTGCTCCAGAGCCGCCGGATCTCATCGATTCTCGATTTAGCCCAACACGGTGTCATCCTCGTCCTGGCTTCGTCTGAAAGGAGGCGGCCTGGATTTAGGTCGGGCATGTCCCCCTACAGGCGGCTTTTGGACGAAAATGAAACAGTCAAAGCAATTCTCAAAAAAAACAATTCAAGAGATCGTCCCCAGACTATTTTTGGAATACTTTTCAGCATTCCGCCTGCAGAGGGACGTGCCCGACTTAAGACTGAAGACTGCACGGGCGCGGCCCCGGCAGGGAGGAAGGGCGCCTTCGCGGCGAGCACGTCCGCCTCCAGCACGCGGCCCAGGGGGCCGGAGCCCTGGAAGGGCGGCAGCCGCCCGGGGTTTCCCCGGCCCGACGGAGACGACGACGATGACGACGAGAACGAGAACGACGCTGACGATGACCACGACGGCGGCGGCGGCGCAGACGACGACGCTGACCCATCCCCCCTTCCGCCGAAGTAAATCCTCTCACCGATCAACCTTCGACCTCCCTCTTTCTCGATGCCCCGCAGCTTTTCTCACCCCGTCTTGCCTTCCTCCTCCTTACCTGCCCCTCCTGATTTGCCTGTCGAGCTCCCCCCATGTAGGTATTCGTCGTTGTGTGCTTGCTCGCTCTCTCTCTCTCTCTCTGTTCTCTCCTCCCTATCTCTCCACATACATCTATATTACTCTCTCTCTCTGTCTGTATCTCTCTCTCTCTCTCTCTTTCTTTTGTGTTCTCTCTCGCGCTCTCTATATATATATATATATATATCTTTCTCTATATGTACATCTATGTATATATCTCTGTATTTCTTCCTCTGTCTGTCTGTCTGTCTGTCTGTCTGCCTGCCTGCCTGCCTGCCTGCCTGCCTGCCTGCCTGTCTGTCTGTCTGTCTGTCTGTCTGTCTGTCTGTCTGTCTGTCTGTCTGTCTGTCTGTCTGTCTGTCTGTCTCTCTCTGTTTCTGTATCATGATACTTGTTGGTGTCTCCTGCGTTCTCTCTCTCTCTCTCGCTCTCTCTCTCTCTCTCTCTCTCCTTGCTTTTGTGCGCGCATGTGCTTCTTCACGTTGTATGTGTATATGCTCACACACATCTATATGTTATATATATATACAGACCTCTCTCTCTGTTTCGCTCTCTCTCTGTCTGTCTGTCTCTCTCTCTCTCTTCTTCTCCCTCTCCCTCCTTGGATTTTGTTGCTTCCTCTCGCTCTGTCGCGTTCTGTCTATCTCTGTCTTCTTCTCCCTCCTTCCCCGGGGGGGCGAAGGGCAGACCCCTGGGCACCCAGGGGGCAACCGGGCCCGGGCAAGGCCGCCCCACGGGGGGGGCCTACAGCAGCCCCCCGCCGGCGCGGGGCAGCAGCGCGAGGGCAGCCAGACGAAGCGGACGACGAGAGCAGTCCTCCTCCTCGTCCTCCAACTCCTCCTCTCGCGTCTCCTCTCTCGCTCTCTCCCTCTCCTCTCTCCTCCTTCTCCCCGTCTCCTCCTCGTCCTCCAACTCCTCTCACTTCTCCTCCAACTCCTCTCACTCCTCCTCTTGCTCTCTCTCGCTCCTCCTTCTCCTGCTTCTCGTCCTCCTCAGAAGGAGAGGGGGGGAGCGCGAGGCGAAACGCCGCGGGGGGCGCGGCCCGGGAGGAGAAAAGGAGGGAGGTGGGGACGCCCGAAATGGGAACGGAAAAAATGGGTACAATGCCCAACGACAAAATTTGTCCCAAACCAACAGCGGCCGCTGTTGGGAAGGCGGCCTTCTGTCTCGAATGGGCACAGGCCGCGGCGGCGCGGACAGCGAGTCCTGTCCAAAATGAACAGGAACTGCTGTTGGGCATTGTGCCCATTCTTTCCGTACCAATCTCGGGCGTCCAGAGGGAAGGGGGCTGTGGGGAAGCGGCCGGCGGGCGGTGGCTGCGGGGGTGGTCGTTGGTGTGGTCGCGGTGGTGGGCGCGGGCGCCGGAAAGTGGCCGTGGTGCGGTGCCGTCGCGGTCGTCGCGGTCGCGGTGGCGGTGCCGGTGGGTCGTCGTGGCCGTCGGGCTGGTGGTGGCAGTGGTCGTGTCGGTCGTCGTGGCCCTGGCGGTCGTGGTGGTGGTCGTCGTAGGTGTCGCCGCGGTCGCGTCTGTGGCCGCGCTAATGGTCGTCGGGCCGGCGGTGGTGGTCGCGTGGTCGGGTCATAAGTGGCACTGGTGGCGGCGGTGGTCGTAGTTGTGGTTGTGGTCGTGGTAGTGGTGGCCGGGGTCAGCTGGCCCCGTGCCCGCTTGGCCGTTCACGCCGCGCTGAGCAGCCTCTCCGCGCTGCCGAAAAACAGGCAGCGCTGGCCATGCGGTGGACATAACGCCTGGCCCCTCTCCCTTTCCGTTGTGTATTATGGCTGTTTTCTGTTGTGTTTCTCTCTCTCTCTCTCTCTCTGTCTTTCTCTCTCTCTCTCTCTCTGTATTTCTCTCTTCCCCCCTTTGCTACAGCTCTTGCTTGTTTTTCCCCACATGTTTCGTGGGGTTATGGTTTTTCTTCCCTGCCGCGGCGCACCCGCGTCTCACCTCACCTCACACCTCATCTCCTCTCTCCTCGTTCCTCTCCTCACACCTCACTCTTCCCCTCCTCTTCTACCTCTCCTCACCCGCGCTCTGCACATGCACCAACATGCACGGCAAGTACATGAGACACGCGTCTCACCCGCGTTTCTCCTCCTCATTCTTTTTCCCCACATGTTTCGTGGGGTTCTGGCTTTCTTCTTTGCCGCGCCGCACCCGCGAGCCTCACACCTCACTCTTCCCCTCCTCTTCTTCCCCCCTCCTCCGCTTGCTTCCTCCACAGCAAGGCAGAGCACAGCACAGCTCACCGCAGCACAGCACAGCACAGCACAGCACAGCACAGCATAGCACCCACACACACACACACACACATGCACGCAAGGCGTGGCAGGAGTGGCACGTTCTCGACACCACACAGGGTGCGCAGAAGGTGGTCTCTCAGCGCGGCCTCTATCCGTGACACGCTCGCAGATCGTGGCAGGAGTGGCACTTTCTCGACGCCACAGGGGGTGCGCAGAGGGTGGTCCCTCAGCGCGGCCTCTATCCGTGACACGCTCGCAGATCGTGGCAGGAGTGGCCCTTTCTCGACGCCACAAGGGGGTGCGCAGAGAGGTGGTCCCTGGGTCCTCAGCGCGGCCTCCTATCCCGGACACGCTCGCAGATCGTGGAGGAGTGGCACTCTCTCGACACCACAGGGGGGCGCAAAGGTGGTCCCTCAGCGCGGCCTCTATCCGTGACACGCTCGCAGATCGTGGCAGGAGTGGCACTTTCTCGACACCACAGAGGGTGCGCAGAAGGTGGTCCCTCAGCGCGGCCTCTATCCGTGACACGCTCGCAGATCGTGGCAGGAATGACACTTTCTCGACACCACAAGGGGGTGCGCAGAGGGTGGTCCCTCAACGCGGCCTCTATCCGTGACACGCTCGCAGATCGTGGCAGGAATGGCCACTTTTCTCGACACCACAGGGGGTGCGCAGAGGGTGGTCCCTCAGCGCGGCCTCTATCCGTGACACGCTCGCAGATCATGGCACGAGTGGCACTTTCTCGACACCACAGGGGGTGCGCAGAGGGTGGTCCCTCAGCGCGGCCTCTATCCGTGACACGCTCGCAGATCGTGGCAGGAGTGGCACTTTCTCGACACCACAGGGGGTGCGCAGAGGGTGGTCCCTCAGCGCGGCCTCTATCCGTGACACGCTCGCAGATCGTGGCAGGAATGGCACTTTCTCGACACCACAGGGGGTGCGCAGAGGGTGGTCCCTCAGCGCGGCCTCTATCCGTGACACGCTCGCAGACCGTGGCAGGAGTGGCACTTTCTCGACACCACAGGGGGTGCGCAGAGTGTGGTCCCTCAGCGCGGCCTCTATCGGTGACACGCTCGCAGATCGTGGCAGGAGTGGCACTTTCTCGACACCACAGGGGGTGCGCAGAGGGTGGTCCCTCAGCGCGGCCTCTATCCGTGACATGCTCGCAGATCGTGGCAGGAGTGGCACTTTCTCGACACCACAGGGGGTGCGCAGAGGGTGGTCCCTCAGCGCGGCCTCTATCCGTGACACGCTCGCAGATCGTGGCAGGAGTGGCACTTTCTCGACGCCACAAGGGGTGCGCAGAGGGTGGTCCCTCAACGCGGCCTCTGTCCGTGACACGCTCGCAGATCGTGGCAGGAGTGGCACTTTCTCGACACCACAGGGGGTGCGCAGAGGGTGGTCCCTCAGCGCGGCCTCTATCCGTGACACGCTCGCAGATCGTGGCAGTAGTGGCACTTTCTCGACACCACAGGGGGTGCGCAGAGGGTGGTCCCCCAGCGCGGCCTCTATCCGTGACACGCTCGCAGATCGTGGCAGGAGTGGCGCTTTCTCGACACCACAAGGGGTGCGCAGAGGGTGGTCCCTCAGCGCGGCCTCTATCCGTGACACGCTCGCAGATCGTGGCAGGAGTGGCACTTTCTCGACACCACAGGGGGTGCGCAGAGGGTGATCCCTCAGCGCGGCCTACATCCGTGACACGCTCGCAGATCGTGGCAGGAAGGGCACTGTCTCGACACCACAAGGGGTGCGCAGAGGGTGGTCCCTCAGCGCGGCCTCTATCCGTGACACGCTCGCAGATCGTGGCAGGAGTGGCACTTTCTCGACACCACAGGGGGTGCGCAGAGGGTGGTCCCTCAACGCGGCCTCTATCCGTGGCACGCTCGCAGATCGTGGCAGGAGTGGCACTTTCTCGACACCACAGGGGGTGCGCAGAGGGTGGTCCCTCAGCGCGGCCTCTATCCGTGACACGCTCGCAGATCGTGGCAGGAGTGGCACTTTCTCGACACCACAGGGGGGGCGCAAAGGGTGGTCCCCCAGCGCGGCCTCTATCCGTGACACGCTCGCAGATCGTGGCAGGAGTGGCAATTTCTCGACACCAGAGAGGGTGCGCAGGGGGTGGTCCCTCAGCGCGGCCTCTATCCGTGACACGCTCGCAGATCGTGGCAGGAGTGGCACTTTCTCGACACCACAAGGGGTGCGCAGAGGGTGGTCCCTCAGCGCGGCCTCTATCCGTGACACGCTCGCAGATCGTGGCAGGAGTGGCACTTTCTCGACACCACGGGGGGTGCGCAGAGGGTGGTCCTTCAGCGCGGCCTCTATCCGTGACACGCTCGCAGATCGTGGCAGCAGTGGCACTTTCTCGACACCACAGGGGGTGCGCAGAGGGTGGTCCCTCAGCGCGGCCTCTATCCGTGAGACGCTCGCAAATCGTGGCAGGAATGGCACTTTCTCGACGCCACAGGGGGTGCGCAGAGGGTGGTCCCTCAGCGCGGCCTCTATCCGTGAC